AAACCACATGGCAGGCCATTAACTTAAGTCCATTGTAAGTCCCAAGGTCAGCAGAGCATGGCAGGCTGCTGAACAATGACACGGCTACATGCAGGGTCCAAGAGTGCCATAGGCTAGAGACCATTCCCAAAGTTTCTCTTTCTATGCAGGAAGTACATCACATCCCAAAGGCAGCTACTCAGGTGCTTGTCGTAGATCCTACCATGGAGTTGATTGCCAATCTCATCATGGGGAATAACTATCACCAGCTGCCCAGCCACTCAACCAGGCCCAGCCAAGTTGACACACAAACATAGCTACCACAGTTCCTTAATATTGCATTGTCTGGATATACCATGGTATACTTAGGGCATTCTCTTTCATTGGATATTAAGTTTTTTTTCCAGTTATTTCCCCTAATAACAAAATGCTGCAGGGAATATACTTTTTTGTGTCCTTGTCCTTATGTAGGATAAATTCTAAAACTTAGAATCGCTGGATAAGAGTGTATGAGTATGTTATGTTATATTTATGACTTGAGGTTTAATGGGATGGGAAAAATATGACTATATGGGAAAGTAGTTATTATTCATAAAATATAAAATATTTTCTATCTTCTAGCCTGGCATTTCTGCTTGCTTCTCTGTTTGCCCTAAGTGTGGAGCTAGCAATCACCCATCTGCTCGATTTTGTGGCTCCTGTGGCATTTTTATGGAGTCCTTGGCAAGATTAAGCTTGGAAAACAGCCTGGCCCCGGCTACTGAAGAACCCTGGCGTTTTTCTAAGGTGAGGCCTCCACTGTAGTAAGAACTAGTGCCCTAGAAGAGGACAGAACCCTGAATTTGTGTACTCTACTCTGTGTATCAACCCAGGTTTCCATGGGAAAGAGAGCCAAAACATATAGACCTCTGTTTGAAAAAATAAAAACAAACAAACCAAAACTCAAAGAAATTGAAATATTACAGACATTCTGTATGCATATAGAGAGACCATTCTGAGTGTAAAACCACAAAAACAAATGACTTCATGTGGGCTATTTACAATGAATCTTATAAAGAGGAGGAACAAATAAAGAAGTACAACCATTGGCTAATCTTAATGTGATTGATTGAACCCTACCTTCTTCCTATTACTGAGATCAGTTGATACCAGGTTAGTAGGTGGTCTCTGAACTGTCAGCTAAAAATTTGGCCCTCCTCAATTGAAATCTTTTGAAATGTAAATTAGGTAAGCCCACTGTCTTTTTTTTTTTTTTAATTAAATCACAAGGTAATAGTTTTGTTATTTATTCTCTCTTTGAGCCAGAAAGAAACAACTTTAACCATGTTGCAAATTGATTAGCAATTTAGGTTGAAAAGAACAGGCGGTAAAGCTGCAGGCAAGATCAATTTGGGGTCAGATATTTCTAGGTTCGTGGGTCAGGAAAAACTCTTAAAATCAATATACGATGTCTGTTATTATTTTTTTTCTTTGGCATCTTTCACATGAACTTTCAATGAGGTATGTAAATAAACTCAATCAATTTAGATTTTAAGCATTCAAATCAAAGATCTGAATATGTGTTTATCTGTAGTAGATTAACGTCTAATTCCATTTGCAAAGCAATGGACTTAATGTTGTAAGGGTGAAGTAGATTCAAAACCCATGAGACAGCATGTACTTCTCTTGAACTTGCTTTGTAGTATACAAAT